CCCCCGCGCGGCGGCGGCGGCTCCTCCGTCCGAACCCCGCTCGCCAAAACCCCAGCCGGGCCAGCGGCCGCCACCTGCCTACTGCCGCCCGCCCCGCCGCGGCCCAACTTGCATGGAGTTGGGGTCCTGAGCGCCTGCCCCACGCCGGCCCGCGGAGAGCCCGCGACGCCGCCTCCGGGCGCGGACCCCTCTCCGCTCCTCTCGGCTCCGCGATGGGAAAAGTTGGCGCCGGCGGCGGCTCCCCAGCCGGGCTGAGCGCGCTTCTCGCTGGTGCGGGGCTCTTGGTCCTCTGGGCCCCGGGCGCCTGCGGCGGCGGCTCCTGCTGCCCCTCGCCGCACCCCGGCTCGTCTCCGCACTGGGCCCCAACCCCAGGGGGCTTCCCTCCCAAGGGGCCGCGAAGCAAGGCTCCTGCCACGCCCCTACCCTTCCTTGGGCGCCCCCTGTTCGTAGTGGCCCCCGGGGACAGAGCGCTTGCCCTGGAGCGAGCCCGGGGCACCGCGTTGTCCGTGGAGGGTGCTACGCGTTCGGGCCGAAAGAGACGGAGCGGAGCGGATCCGGAGCTGGCTGAACGCGGAGAAGCAGCGAGTAAGAGTCCCCGGGGAGCGCTCGGGGACGGAGGGCAGCAGGAACCTGCGAGTCAGGAGCGGGATCCGGACAAAGCTACCCGCTTCCGGACGGAGGAGCTGAGACTGACCAGCACCACGTTTGCGCTGACCGGCGACTCGGCGCACAACCAAGCCATGGTCCACTGGTCTGGCCACAACAGCAGCGTGAGTAGAATGGGACTGTGGGCCAAGGGGTGAAAGGTGGAAAGGGTTAAAGCCAGCTGTGTGATCTGATAGAGAAGGGGAAATGGAGCTTTTTTGGATCTGGGGGATGCTGCAAATTAAAGTCTCTGCTGCCCATATTCCCCAGGAGTTATTACTGGCTACTAGTAGACCTACCTTCACCCCAGACCCCTGCTAACACCAATCTAGTCCTCCCAAGACCCTCAACAAAGCTACGAACCACGCACTCAAATCCTGATTTCTTGTTACTTTGGTGGCATTGGTGTGTGGAGCTGAAGACTAGGCAGACAGGGGGTTAAGGTATTCCGGACATGGAGGTGAAAGGGTTAAACTCCAGCCAGGCTGACATTCCCTTTACTTGCTAGAATTACTGACTAGCTCAAGTCAGATCAAGATGACATATTCATAGGTTTTTTATTTTATATGTTATGCATGGCTCCTAACTCCTTCCCCAGAGTGGAGGAGAACTGTAGTGGACAGTAGGTGCCCTTAGTAGATGCCCTGTTTCTGGGGACCAAGAGGCTGCAAGTTTCAGTGCAGGAATGCTCCAGCATCCTCTAACTGTACCAGTGACTGTGGTTTGAGAGCTGGGGTTTTCCAGCCTGTGAATGAGTGGTGGTTCCCCAGTGTGATCAGTCCCAGGAAGATCAGATAGAACCCGGTGACAACAATCCCGTTTTCCCTCATGGCCAGACCTCCTCTAGTGAATGGCATACACGAAGACTCGGCTCTCCCATTATGGAGGGAGGAAAGTGATCCCTGGACTACAGGAAGCTGACATTTTGAGTTAGGGTAGAAATCTGTGCCCTTCCCTGGGCCATGTCAGGGAAGGTGTTAGATTTGCAGAAAAGCCCGTATGTCTGGAATCTGAGGGAGCCACTCTAGTGAAAACTGAGCTTAGAAACTTCATTGAACTGAAATAGTAAAAGAACCAGATCTGATGGTTACAACTGAAGACAATGTAAAAGTGTGGAAAGTTCTCCAGGCTACCATGAGGCAGACAAGAAGAACATTAAAACCAAGGATGGATGAAATGAAGACAAAAGAAAAAAAAAACATCTGAAAGTTGGAGCTTCCATTAGGAAATTGAGATTGCACGCTTTGTAACATGCACGGTCCTTGCAGCCCTCTTACCTTTCATAGTGTTTTCAATTGTGATGTAATTGCCAGAAACCTTCACAGACAAGTACCACTTTAGTGTGTTGTGCTCGCTGTCAGATTTTTTTTTTTTTTAAATGGAAGTTGGGAACATTTTAAAATAGTAGTCTGTCATTATGGATTCCTTGGGTATAGAGACATAACTAGTGTTAAGGAAAATCATGATAGTATTTTGTATTGATGTCTCTATCCTGTGAGTACTGGCAGGGTTTTCTCTGCAATTTGGCATTCATGAGAGAGGCTGTGGTTTTATATGGTTCTCAGGAGTGGTTTAATCAAATTGAAGCAGAAATTCTTTTTGTTCTAGAGACCTTTGACCTCACCCCCTACCTTAACTGTCATAGCTTTCATATCATAGGCATTAAAATTAAGCCTCCGGTTTGAACCTGAATCTTCTTAAACTGATTGAATAACTTTCTTCGTGCTTTAAGTGATTAACTCAAAGCTTCTGGCTTTAAGGCTAGAGTTTAAACACATCAGACACATTAGCTCTTGTATACAGAAGCAAAGGACTTTGGACTCAACATATTCCTGCCTTTTAATGTAAATCAGAGTGTAAAATATCACTCACCCATTAGACCTCTACTTTAGTTCATCTCTTGAAAGATCTTGGAAAGAGTGAGGAAAGGAGAGTACATCTTTGGCAAATTTGAAACTCCATTTAAGAAATGGCGCCAAGCACTGCCAGGTCATTTTTTAACCCTCCCCTCCCCTTTTTTTAATGATGTTTACAAGCTCTGTGCAGCTTACTGGGATCAGAACTTGGATGGGTGACATGCAGGGAAATCTGAGATAGTGTAGGGAATAAATAAAGAGGTGAATGTTAAAGGTTGTTGTTGTTGTTATTTGCCGTCGAGTCGGCCCCGACTCATAGCGACCCCTCCTTGGGTTTCCGAGGCAGTATCACTACGGAAGTAGGATTGCCCAACCTTCCTTCCGAGGAGTGGCTGGTGGGTTTGAACCGCCAGCCTTCTGGTTAGCAGTCAAGTGTCTTAGGCACTATGCTACCAGAGCTCCCAATGTTAAAGGTAGGAGCACCTAAATCATGTTAACTAATGAGATTTCTGGGAGCTCTGGTGGCGTAGTGCCTAAGGCATTTGACTGCTAACCAGAAGGCTGTGGTTCAAACCCACCAGCCACTCCTCGGAAGGAAGGTTGAGCAATCTACTTCCCTAGTGATACCATCTCGGAAACCCAAGGAGGGGTCACTATGAGTCAGATCCGACTCCACAGCAGTGAGTTTGGTTTTGGTTTGGAATGAGATTTCTACTCTCGGAAGTCTTATGGTCCATAAGGCCACCCCTGCCCCGTCCCTGCTTACATGCAAGTTGTTTTCTCAGTATCTATGTACAGGTTGTGGAGAAGAGAAACCAAATTCCTCCAAAACAAGCTGGCCCTGCTCCTGTGGCCCAGCTGCATAGGACACAGGACATTTAAAAGATTTTTAAAGGGAGAGCAGACAGAAACGCACTGTTTTGGAGATTCTCTGACATGGCAGATAGAGTGGCAACCTGCGTTCTGAGTCTGCTTATTCGTTCTATGACCTTGGCAAGTTGATCACACCCTGAGGGCGAATGTCTTCACCTCTGAAGTGGGGGCCATGCCTGGCGGGTTAATTACAGAGACTCATGCCGGGGTATGCATCAGAGGTGAAGTGTGACTGTATGGTTCTTGACACCTGTTTGGAACTCTCATACCACAGTACTCCACTTTCCCCCAGAGTGGGAAATCCACTCACCTACAGCTGAGGACAGGGTTGGGGGCCCTCACGTAGACATCCTCCTCACAGAGCTACCTCCAGCCCCTTCAGTACCACAGGCAACTTCCATCCTATGAACCTGCTCTAGCTTTAGCTGAAAGCCTTTGCTAAGAAGGGCCTCTGATTACAATAACACCTGCATTAAAGGTGCAAATGTATGGTAATTACAGGCTGCCTGTCAAGCTTCTGAAGGATTCTGGATGGTTCTCTCACCTCCTTCCTTCTTTTTCCTTCCCCCTCTGCTCTTGGACCTGTGCAGTTGTGTAAAGACATGACTGCCTGCCTCAGCCGTGGGTGTGATGTGATGTCTCTGTACTGCAGTCTGCTTGATGGAAACGGTTGCTAGAGTTGGTGGAACACCTGAGGGGATCTTTTGGCATGAAAGGTGCTGGCTATGAATCATTTGTCATGAGCTTGGTGTCATATGCAAGAACATATTGTTCCTACCCTACTCGTTTGAGACATGCTGTGCCCTGCTCTAAATTTATAGAGTTATCTTAGTGTGTTAAAATAATGTATTTGACTATAAATGTGTATGTGATGTGTGTATGTGTGTGTTTATTCCTTATTTTCAAAGAATTTCTAAGTGTTACACTCATTAATCATTTTAAAATACTTAGTAGGTAGGTGGCGAGTGTTAATAGCTCTTTTTTTTTTTGTATTTTTATGCTGGAGTTAATTTGAATAGTTTACTTCACTACCCTGTCCCCTTCTCAGTGGTAATAGCATTATAAGAATTAACAGAAGCTTTCACTTCTATGTTACCACTGTTGTATCCTTAATGCTGCATTTATTGAAGAGCATGATCATCTGATGGATTCCCATGTACTTTGCTGTTAAGTGTTCTGAGACTTGACACTTGTCATCCAACCTTAGTGAATAAACTAAATCCCAGTTTGGGCAAGGTTTTCCACTAAATGCCTTACATTTATCATCTTATTTAATGGTGTTGTGACTAGTATTATAAGGTGCCCTGGAGGCGCAGTGGTTAAGCATATGACTGTTAACCAAAAGGTCAGAGGTTCAAGCCCACCAACTGCTCTGTGGGAGAAAGATGTGGCACTCTGCTTCCTTAAAGATCACACCCTTGTAAATCCAATGGGGCAATTCTACCCTGTCCTGTAAGGTTACTCTGAGTTGAGAGCGACTTGATGGCAATGGGTTTTGGTGGTTTTGTTAACACTGATTTAAAAAATGAAAAGAATAAATTAGTCTTGTTTGAAATAATAGGAAGTAGGTAGGGTAGCTGTGAGTCAGAATTGACCCAAGGGCAATGGTTATGGTTGGTATTGATACCTCTGTTACACAGAGAAGGAAGCTGAAACCCCAAAAGGCAAAATGACTTGCCAAGAGGATATATAGGATGTCTTTGGCAAAGGAGGGGATACAACCAAGAGTGATCTGACCCCCAAAACCCACAGAATGGCTTGTGTTATAGACTTTCACAGAGAACAGAAAAATTCACCCTTTCAGAGTCTGTATTTTGAATCCTGTCTTGGGTGGGTCTTAGAAGATGGTGGAAGGAGTGTAGTAGACTCTTAGCTGCAAGAGCTATCTTCCTGTGGAAAAGAAAGGACTTTAACATGTGCCTGTCACATTGCACTCCTTACCTTAAGTAGTGATTTAGTTGTTCTCTCACCCACCCACCTCTTCATCTTTCAGGAGACATGGAATTTGCACCTGGGGATTCATTGAGCATGAGGTAACCTGAAATCATTCAGCTTTCAGATCTGTTGTTCGTCAGTAATAGATTCTTTTTCTGAGGTAACAGCAAAATCTGCTTGTATAGAGAGGTTGTATATGAACATAACTTGGTGATACATTTATACGTGTGTGTGTGTGTGTGTGTATGTTTAAGTACAATGATAAAAGGTTTTAGCTTTCTCTAGCAAGCCCACATAACAACTTTTCTGATTGGTGTTCTGTGCTGTCAATGAATGTAAATGGTTCTGTGGTAGGAGGAAGGAAGTGGCTTTAGAAGCAGAATTGAGTTTGAAGCATGGCTCTCCTGCCGACCAACATGTGGCTTTGAGTAAGAAACTTCAATTCTTGGAGGCTGTTTCCT